CTAGCAACACCGATGTTGTTTCGTATGCCGAGCGTTTGCGTATATTGTCAGTTATTTAGAGAAATTGTTCTGCCTACTGATTTTGCATTTTGACAGCACAATTAGTCTTAAAACAGTTGGAATATTTCGCTGTAGTTACCAGACCTATGATCTGCGTATATAAGGAGCAAAAGCCTGTTTAAACCGTATAATGTTTATAGTGTACATAATTTTAAACTCTATATGGGATGTACTTACAATTATATACATATATCTACATTAACAATTTAAATACCATAAAGCAGGTTACATAATTTATTTGAGATTGATAATATTAATTCTAAAACCATTCAAAATAAAGAGATTAAAATATAAAACTAATAAACTATTGTTTTCTATTACAAAGCAGTTAAATATATTTAATACGTATATCGCATTTACATAAATTACAGATTGTTTAAATATGATTACTTTTCTTACATTTGTTAACGTTTATTAAAACATTTATTATGACAAATTGTATTACAATAAAAACTATAATTTATTCAGTTGCACTTTCTTTACACATTCCAGAATGTTCCATTGTAACATCTGTAAACATAAAGTATTGAATGTTGAGTAATTTAAGTACGTGGTTTGCAATTTCAATAGTTGTCTTATGCCCTGGTTATATGTAGATATATAAGATATTTTTATCACTTTGTATACTTTTTAGAGCAAATATTCTTAAATGCGTAAATATGACAGGTAAATTAATATTTACTAATGTATTATTTATTATAATACCGGAATTGAGAATATTTGAAGAATGCAAGTTCTCCATCCATCTTGTGTGTAAAATAAAAACTTTTCTTGTAATCTTAATTCTCTTTACTTTTAATTTACATATTAGTGTCTCTTTATCAATTTAAATGTTTCAAAAACAAAATTTATATAACTTAGAAAATTTAAGCAATAATTATAATAATAATAAAGTTGACTTAAAAGGACCTCCTTGTTTTGTTGAAAAAAATTTAAACCAGTTTCATTGATGTAGTGATAAATAAAAAATGTCTTTGAGATCATTATTACATTAATAGAAAGCTTGGTATATGTAATTGTCACGCATGTAACTTTCATATTAAAAGGTAAGAGCTAAATATAATAAAATTTTAATGAAGAATCTCACCTTTTCCACAACATTGCGCGCATGCTAGTTCTCCTAAATTACCATAAGTAACTCCATCCGTACCACAAACAGGATCGTAAAGTGCTATTGTCTATTAAATAAATGCCGTTATAAGTTCAATATTAAATTATTTTTCAGAAAGAGATGTAAGAAATGTTTAATAAAATGTTATAGTTATACATCGCAGTTCTCCATGCATTCTTCGAATTGCTCATTGCAGTTACAGATTGGATGGGATGTAACTTCATCTTCTTTTCCATTGAATTGCCCATAAGCCATTGGACCGTTATCTATCTCCACTGCATCATCCGAATTCTATAACGTTTATAGCGCAAATTACACTTCTAAATATTATACTCCGATTTTTCTTCAAAAATATTACGATATTGGATTCAGAACATTAAAATAAATATTAAAATTTAATTTAATAATATGTATGCAAACTTTTTATTATAATTTTTTTTACATGAAAGGTTAAAATAAAAATATCATCGTTGAATACAAAACATATTAATTATTAAACTTTCAAACGATCCATGAATATGATGATATACTTGATATAAACTATGATATTTATATATATCATACTTTATTACGTTTAGTATAGAATATGATTATATTTTTTGACGTTACAACATATTCGAACGTCTCGAATCATTTAAATATTGATCCACTTGTCTTCTAGAGATCGCATAGAATGTTTACTTACTTGTTCATTTGCGATGATAAGAATCGGCGTTGCAGCAACTGTAAAAATTATTAATAAGATATAATGGAAATATTGTTATAGAATCAATTAATTGATGCATAAACAATTTGCATCATGCATGAAATGTTTGAATTAATTTTCTTACTTAGCAACATGAGAAATAACATTTTGTTAAAGTTTGCCTGATGAAAGACCGCCAGATATCGATGTTATAAGATATTTTATATATCTAATGTATCGTAAAAAGAAGTTTGACGTTCTACTGTTTGGCAAAATAATGTTGCATTCTCTTTTATAGAACCAATTGCTAATCGGTAGTTATATTTGTAAAACATGTAAGAGTATGGTAAAAAAAAATTGCTCAATTTAACGATACAATATTCATTACATGCTAATGTTCAAACTTTGTGTGTGTGTGTGTGTGTGTGTGTGTGTGTGTGTGTATGTGTGTAGACAGTGTATTTCATTTTTATCGCCCCAGGCAAATATCTCGAAAAATGTAGAAGATACGAAAAAATGTTTCAGACGAAAGTTGTGTAGTTTTGACGGGGACATAAGACAGACCTATTAATTTAACCTTGAATAATTGGATGAATGCTTCATAAAGGTCACTTTTAATTTCTTAAATGGCACATTCTATTTTTTATTTTATTTTCTTGTAGATTACCTCGAAAGCTTTCCAAAACACTATAATAATATATTTTTTCGTTAAATACTTGTCGAGTTAAAAGGCTTGAAAGTTACTGTAACGTTGGCATTGACATTAGCTAAGGTATCCAGTGGATGGTTAAAACTTCTTGAAAGTTGTTTTAGATCATGCTCTGAGTAATATTTATCAATGGAGGTTGTAACTTTTATTTTCATTTTTGGATAAAAAATTCACTTTATATAAAAACAAATTTTGATATAAATTCATTTTACATAAAAATAAATTTTCTGTGCAAAAATGAAACTAATAATTGCAATTTCCATTAGCTTTGGTCTTGACAAATTTTATCCTGACCATGATCCAAAATAACATGCAAGATGCTTTATCCGTCCATTGAACACCTTGGATAATGTTAATGTCAGCGGTACTGTAACTTTTAAGCTAATTCTACAATGTACTTTTTGTTTCCTGTTTCTTGTTGTTTGCCTTTTGTCCTCTTGATTAAAAAGACAAGAGACAGAGACAAACGTAGAATAAGCCTTGAGCTTTACAACTCGAAAATTACTTAATGAAAAAATATTTTATTATAGAAATTTGGAAAGCTCTTGAGGTAATTTACAATACAAAAAATGAAAAATGAGATGTTTCATTAAAGAAATTAAAAGTAATCTTTATGTGACCTTCGTACAATTATTAAACGTCAATTTAGTGGTACTGTCTTATGTCCCCCTTGAAACTTTATCTGATAAATAAAGTAGTACCATAAAGCACATTTACATATAATTTATTTGAGATTGATAATATTAAATCAAGAACCATTCAAAGTAAAAATGTTAAAATGAAAAACTAATTAACTATTGTTTTTTGCGGTAAAAAGCAGATAAATATTAGGTGCTAAACTTAGTTTCCGCAGTTCACATTTAGATGATACTAGTTGTAGATGTAATTTCACATCTGAAAACTGGCTGCAATTTAGAGATTAGACATTTGTCAAGAAAACTTTGTGCGAAAAGATTCATTTGAGTGAATGGAGCTATTTTTTTTATTAAAAAAATTTGGAATGTAATTAATTGTTTTTTCGACATGTATTGCTTCATTATTTTGATTTAAAAAAAACTGTAATCTGCTGCTCATAAATTGCTTGTCAAAGCTTATGCTCTATCAGAAAGAACATGGCAAGAATGGTTTCAGCGATTTAAGAGTGATGATTATGATGTGAACGATAAACAATGCTCCGGTCAACTGAAAAAGAGAGAAAGTCAATGTTCTAACAATAAGAGAGAACATTGATTTATTGACTTTATATTTTATAATTATTGTTTTAAATTGTTATGTTTATATTAATGTTTTGTATATATTATTGAGACTGAGGAGGACTATAGTAAGAGTCGAAACGTTTCGCTTAAAATTTAAAATTGTGAAATTATTATAATAAAGTTTGTCAACTGTTTTACATCGTTTGTTTGTTTATCATACCGAAATTCAATATCTTAATTTGTCGTTTTTAAAACATAACAAGCGTTATCTTAGTACTCATATTTTCAACCAAAAAAGTTTGTAAATGTCACTAATTGCAAACATTATTGGACGAAAACTCAGCTCAAACGCTGCAATTGTCTGCAGCATTAAACGTTACTCCGATAACTTTCCAAACGTCTACATGCAATGGGAAGGATTCAAAAGGAAAAAAAATGGGTACCACACAACTTAACCGAAAATGCCATTGCAAATCGCTTAAACATCTCTATTTCTCTGTTCGCCAGATAAAAAAAAACAGTTTTTTGTGACGCAGTGTAACCGGCGACAAAAAGTGAATATATTTTGACAATCCTAAACGCAAAATGTCATTGGTGAATCCCGATCAACCATCAACATCTACACGAAAGCGAAATATCCATGCCCACAAAACAATGTTCTGCATTCTGCATTTGACGGGATATGCCAGGTGTCGTTTCCTACGAGCTATTCAAACCGAACGAAAGTATCACGGGGATCGATATAAATTACAATTGAACTGTCTGAATGAGGCACTGTTGTAAAAAAAACGCAAGCAGTTGCCAGCAATCGACGCAAAGTTATGCTTTTGCACGACAGCGCTCGACCATACGTTCATGCAAAAGCCGTCAAGGAAACACTGATGAAATTTGAGTGGGAAGTTCTTCCACACTCAGCGTATTCACCAGACTTAGCTCTTTCAGAGTATTACTTGTTTCGACCAATGAAGCACGGCTTGGTGGATATACACTTTAGAAATTACGACGATGTTCGAAAATGAATCGACGAATGGATTGATTCAAAAGATCAATCGTTTTATCATCACGGAATCCACTTATTGCAAAAAAGATGGAAAAAATATATAGCTAGCGAGAGCATTACTTTGATTGACGTATTTTTGCTTTTGATATCGAGAAAATTAGTTTTTTAAGCAAAAAACCGCGGAAACTAAGTTTACTACCTATATATTTTTAATACGTGTTTATATTACATACATTACAGACTGTTTAATATGTTTATTTTTCTTACATTTGTCAATTTTTATTAAAACATTTGTTATGACAAATTGCATTTCAATGAAAACCATATATTATTCTGTTGCACTTTCTTGACACATTCCAGGATGTTTCATTGTTAAATCTGTAAACATAAAATATTGAATGTTGAGTAATTTAAGTACATGGTGATCATCACCCAGTGAGATACGACAATGGAATCGACGTGGATTTGATGATGTCGATTCGGTATCAATTCGATGTCAAGATTCCATTATCATTTCTCATTGGGCATTAACTTTAATTGTCTTAAGTTCTGATTATATATATGATTTTTTTATCATTTTATATATTTTTTAATGCAGATATTATTATATGCGTAAATATGACTGGTAAATTAATATTTACTAATATATTCGTGCCAGAATTGAGAATATTGAAAGAATGGTTCTCCATTCATCTTTTGTGTAAAATAGAAACTTTTTTTATAATCTTAATCCTCTTTGTTTTTAATTTACATATTAGTATCTCTTTATGAATTTAAAAGTTTCAAAAATATAAATAATGTTACTTTGAAAATTTAAGCAATAATTATAATAATATTATAATAGAGATGAGTTAAAAAAAAAAGGATATCTTTGTCTTGTTGGAAGACATTAAAGCAACCAAATTAACTGCTCTAGAGATAAACCAAAAAATGTCTTTCAAATCATTGTTACATTAATAGAAATCTTGGTTGAGGTCATTTTTGCACCTTTCATATAAAAAAAAAGTAATTGCTAAATATTATAAAATTTTAATGAAGCATCTTACCCTTCCCACAAGATTGTGCGCACGATAGTATTCCTGAATTACCATAAGTAACTCCGTCTGTACCACAAACAGGATCGTAAGCAGCTGCTAGCTATTAAAAGAATGCGATTGTAAGTTTAATATTAAATTATTTTTTAGAAAGAGATGCAAAAGATATTTAATAAAATAATTATAGTTATACAGGGCAGTTTCCCATGCATTCTTCGAGTAGTGTAGGTTGGTAACTCATTAGACGGGATGCAATTTCACTTTCCTCTTCATTGAATTGATCATCAGCATGGACTCCCCATTGAATTGCACGTAACATTGGACTGGTCTGACCCAAAGGTATTGGAAGAGGTAGTGGGAGAGGTGGCTATAACGTTTATCATGCGAATCAAACTTTCAAATATTAAACTCCCGATTTTTCTTCTAAAACATTACGATATTGGTTTCAGAACATTAAAATATTAAAATTAAACTTAGTATATATGCAAACTTTTCATTACAATTTTTTTTCATAAAAAGTTAAAATAAAAATATCATCGTTGTATACAGAAAATATTAATTATTAAACTGAAACGATCACCCCCCCATGAATATAATGATATGTCTGCGTCACAGTTTATTACGTCTAGTATAGAATACGATTATATTTTTTGACGTTACAACATATTCAAATGTCTTAAATCACTTAAATATTGATCTATTTGTCTTTCCTGAAATCGCATAGGATATTTACTTACTTCTTGATTCGCGATAAATATCGGCATTGCAGCAACTGTAAGAATTATTAGTACAACATAGAAATATTGATATAGAATCAATTAATTGATGCATAAACAGTTCGCATCACGCATAAAATGTTTGAAATAATTGTCTTACTCAGCAACATAAAAAACAACATTTTGTTAAAATTTGCCTAACCAACGGCAGCCAGTTATCGATGTTTTTTATAAGATATTTCGTACGTTATAATGTAACGTGAACAAATGTTCGACGTTCTACTGTTTGGCAATATCATGTTGCACTCCCTTTTATAGAATTGCCAATTGGTAGTTATATTCATAAAACGTATAAGCGTATGGTAAACAAAAAAATAGCTCAATATACATGGTAAACTACTTATTGCTAATTTTCAAACTTTGTGTGTGTGTGTGTGTGTGTGTGTGTGTGTGTGTGTGTGTGTGTGTGTGTGTGTGTGTGTGTAAGTGCGTGGGCGACTGTGGGTAACAATAGCAGACCTTGAAATATTAAAAGGAATTTTAATGTACATGTATGTATAATACAAACAATATGGAAAATTTTTTAAAATATTTACGCTCTTAATAATTATGGCTTTTTAAGGAAATACCAAAGACAATTAGTCATGTTGGGAATAACACTTACCCATAGATGGTTACGTGTCGTTGACACATCACTACATCGATATCTCACTCACGCATGCTACACATATACACAAATGTTCGTATCGTAATTGCGTTTTAATTAGAAATCTAAATCCAATTTTAGGAACCCGACGCTGTTTCTTCATACAAACTACTTGCTTGTGAACTACTATTTCGTAACTACAGATCGTATAGCTTCTATATGAAGTAAACGTTGTCGCGATGTGTAACGACGTGACAGCTCTGGAGCGCCATATTGGACTAAGAAATCATTAAGAACATAATTTCGAAATTTCTTGTCGTTTTCAGCATAGATTCTACATCATAGGCAGATATTAATACGTATACTTTAATTCTTGGAAAGGATTTTCGCATTTGTGAATGATAAAAAAAAGTATTTACAAAATTATATGGTTTAGTCGATAATATAGACAACTTTAGGATCCCCTTAAGGTGATGCTGGATCCGCCAATATTATCGATAAAACAGATTTTTAGTTACAATCAAAATATTACATATACAAAGAAAATATTTACATATTATACATTAAGTAAAACGTTACGAACATTAAGTAAACCATTAAATAAAATGTTACGTACATTTCTTGTTTTGTTATATTTTATATAAAAGCTTGAGTATGAGATTTTGTACACTGAAATCGTATTTCTCCTGCCATTTTTCTTGTAAGCTTCAATATACATAATTTGAAGGTCTCATGATATTCTTATAAATTAATCAAATATAGGAAAGTATCTTTTGTTTGAATCTAGCATTCGTTTATATACAGAATGTTTCACAACTACCGAATTTTTTCTTAAAAGACGTAATTTGAAATAATTTAACGAAACATTTTTAAAGTAATCGCAATTTCACTAATCACTGAGCTGACATTTGTCCGCTCAGGCACGACGATATGACAAATGATGATATACCATGACGGCTCCGTTAACATGCAATATTTTTCAGAAAGTTGTTTAAAAAATATCTGTATATTTTTAATTTTTAAGTGTATATATATATATATATACACACACGTTTGTATAATTTATATGCATAATATTAATATCGGAATAGATATATCCTGAAATATCAATCAATTCAACAGCAAGATATTACGCTATGTACATTTGTCAAGATAAATTCGTAATTATGTTCATTTGTCTCGTAAACATTTTTGTCATATCGTCATGCCTGAGTGCGCGAAATATCAGCTCCTTGATTAATGAAATTTAATTGCGATTAATTTAAGAATTATTATAGCCTCGATATTTTTATTTTAAAATTCTCATCATAAAATTATCTCAAAAATACGTCTTTTAAGAAATGCGGTAGTTGTGAGACACCATGTATATGTAAAGAAAGAAAACTTACATTGTAACAAAAGACCGTAATTTACAATTTTTTGAGGATTCTCATACCGGTTTGATACTTTTCCGCATTTATTTGTGATTTTCTTTTTATTCTGGAGAAAAGGAATTTTTATTCTGTATAAGAAAAACGGAATGGCATGAGAAATACGAAATGAATCGATAACTCTAGCATCCCTCAAGGAGAGGACTGGAGGCCGGTTTTCAAAAAAGGGTGCCAAAGAACACCAACATACAATATAATGTCAGTACAATGACTAGATAGTGGAATTAATAAATACCCCACACAAAAAACTACAGATTTTTCCCGTCGGCTGAAGGTTGGTCTCAAAAACTGAAAGCTTTAGTCAAATTCTTGTGACTTGATTTGAGTCTCAATAGGGGAATAAGACTAAAAATTTACAGAACATACACACACATCGACATATCGGAATGAGTTTTACAACATAAGTGCCATATAACACCTAGACAGCACATAACATCCATTGGATTTAAAAAATGTTCATGTCATACAAAAATGTTCTCAGTCTGTTCGCAACGTGATGCTTTTGCTGACTTGACAAAGTAAAAATTTTTTTAAGATCGCACGAGGAATTTTACATTTATTACCTCCGGTAACAAAAATTTACTTTTAGATTTACTTCGTATGCAAAATATTAGGTTTAGACAATATATACTCTCTGTGTGATAAATTTAAACTTCTTTGTAAGTCACAAATTAGATGAGATATGATTCTTATTGATTTTTTATCATTAAAAACGAATACGAAAATGAAATTGCTACATAACATGTCAGATATTTGAGAAAATTGAACTTAAAGTTACTAAAAATGAAACTTTTGAATACTTTTGAGCTATAATAGTTAAAAAATGTGACATGGTAGAGTAATTTCATTCACGGAATTGTTTTCACACAGCACACTTTATCCAACGGTCTTCTTAAAGAAGTCTCTAGAACATTTGTACTGTGTTAAAAAATTTCGACAAAAAAATCTATGAAAAATCATTTAATCTGGATTGTGGTCTAAAATTTGTTTAATATATTAATTTATAGTCCTATTATAATCCATTGCGTGAAATGTCCTAAAATAAATATTTTTAAGAAGTACAAAATGATAAAATTGGATGTTTTTAAAACGTTTTAAAAATATCTATGGAACTAATCTGCATGTTTTTAAAATGTCCGAAACGTTAAATATGTACATTTTAAATACAGTTTTAAAACTTTAGTATGCTGTCTGAGCATAACTAACAATAAATAAATTAATTGATTTTAAAATTAATTTATTTATATAAAATAAGTGTATTAATTAATTTTTAAATTAATTGATCTGTCTTTCTACAAATTGTAAGATTTAGCTGCATTTGAATTTAACTTGTACGTGCTATAATAAACGATTACGCAGAATTTTGAAACGTATTATTGCCAATACTTGAGTGTGCAGTAACAGGGCTTGCAGGTCAATTATTTAACTCGTAACGCAAGTTTTCTTATCATTATGACGTCAATGTGCAGCTTTTTTTAGCAAAAAATAAAAAAAAATTGCGGAACGATTTTAAACAGTAGCGAAACTCGCGTTAACTGTTACAGAATAGTTTTATTCGATGTAAAGAAAATAAGTAATCTCTTTGTATTTCCGGCTCGGCGTTTTTGTGAGAAATTCGATTCACTCAATCATTGTGTCTTTTTTTTTAGAAGAAATGTGCTAGCAACACCGATGGTGTTTCTTATGCCGAGCGTTTACGTATATTGTCAATTATTTAGAGAAATTGCTCGACCTACTGCATTTTGTCAGCACAATTAGTCTTAAAATAATTGGAATACTTCGCTGTAGTTACCAGGCCTATGATCTACATATATATAAGGAGCAAAAGCCTCGTTAAACGGTATATACGTTTATAGTGTGGATAATTTTAAACACTCTGTATGAGATGTACAATTAGATACATATATCTACATTAACAATTTAAATACCATAAACGCACATTTACATAATTTATTTGGGAGAGAGAGATTGATAATATTAATTCTAAAACCATTCAAAGTAAAAAGATTAAAATAAATTTTCTATTACAAAGCAGATAAATATATTTAATATGTATATGGTACATACATAAATTATAGATTGTTTAAATATGATTACTTTTCTTACATTTGTAAACGTTTATTAAAACATTTATTATGTGACAAATTTTATTATAATAAAAACTATAAATTATTCAGATGAACTTTTTGTACACATTCCAGGATGTTCCATTGTTACATCTGTAAACATAAAATATTGAATGTTGAGTTAGTTGAGTAATTTAAGTACATGGTTTGCAATTTCAATAGTTGTCTTATACCCTGATTATATATAAGATATTTTTATTAATTTGTATACTTTTTAGTGCAAATATTCTTTAATGCGTAAATATGAATAGTACATTAATATTTGAAAATGTATTATTTATTAATGCCGGAATTGAGAATATTTGAAAGAATGAAGGTTCCATCCATCTTGTGTAAAATAGAAACTTTTACTATAATATAAATTCTCTTTATTTTTATTTACTTATTAGTGTTTTTTCATCAATTTAATTATTTCAAAAATAAAATTAATATAACTTCGAAAATTTAAGCAATAATTATAATAATAAACTTGAGTTAACAGGACCTCTTCGTTTTGTTGAAAAAAGTTAAAACCAATTTTATTGTGCAGTGATACATTAAAAATGTCTTTGAGATCATTATTACATTAATAGAAAGCATGGTATATGTTATTGTCACCCATGTAACTTTAATATCAAAGATAAGAGCCAAATTTAATAAAATTTTAATAAAGAATCTCACCTTTCCTACAACATTGCGCGCATGCTAGAAGTCCTGAATTATCATAAGTAACTCCGTCCGTACCACAAACAGGATCGTAAATTTCTATTGTCTATTAAATAAATGCCGTTATAAGTTTAATATTAAATTTTTTTTCAGAAAAAGATGTAAAAAATGTTTAATAAAAGATTATAGTTATACATCGCAAGTCTCCATGCATTCATCGAATTGCTCATTGCAGTTACAGATTGGATGGGATGTAACTTCATCTTCTTTTCCACTGAATTGCCCATAAGCCATTGGACTGTTATCTATCTCCACTGCATCTACCAAATTCTATAACGTTTATAGCGCAAATTGCACTATTAAATATTAGACTCCGATTTGTTTTCAAAAATATTACGATATTGGATGCAGAACATTAAAATAAATATTATTATTAAACATAGTATGTATGCAAACTTTTTATTACAATTTTTTTTACATAAAAGGTAAAAATAAAAATATCATCGTTGAATACAGAATACATTAATTATTAAACTTTCAAACGATCCATGAATATGATGATATACCTGATATAAACTATGATATATGTTATAGGTATATCATAGTTTATTACATTTAGTATAGAATATGATTATATTTTTCACGTTACAACACATTCGAATGTCTCGAATCATTTAAATATTGATCCATTAGTCTTCGAGAGATCGCATAGAATGTTTACTTACTTGTTCATTTGCGATGATAAGAATTTGCGTTGCAGCAACTGTAAGAATTATAAATACAATATAATGGAAATATTGTTATAGAATCAATTAATTTATGCATAAACAATTTGCAACATGCATGAAATGTTTGAATTAATTTTCTTACTTAGCAACATGAAAAATAACATTTTGTTAAAGTTGACCTGATCAAATAAGACCGCCAGATATCAATGTTATGAGATATTTTATATATCTAATGTATCGTAAAAAGAAGTTTGACGTTCTACTGTTTGCAAAATAATGTTGCACTCTCTTTTATAGAACCAATTGCCAATCGGTAATTATATTCGTAAAACATGTTAAGTATGGTAAAAAAAAAATTGCTCAATTTAACGATACAATATTCATTACATGCTAATGTTCAAACTTTGTGTGTGTGTGTGTGTGTGTGTGTGTGTGTGTGTGTGTGTGCGTGCGTGCGTGCGTGCGTGCGTGGGTGTGTGTGTGTGTGTGTGTGTGTACATAGTGTATATCATTTTTATCGCCCCAGGCAAATATCTCAAAAAATGTAGAAGATACGAAAAAATGTTTCAGACAATAGTTATGTAGTTTCGACGGGGACATAAGACAGTGCTATTAATTTAATCTTGAATAATTGGATGAATGCTTCATAAAGATCACTATTCATTTCTTAAATGGAAAGTCCTATTTTTTATTCTATTTTCTTGTAGATTATCTCGAAAACTTTCCAAAACACTATAATAAAATATTTTTTCGTTAAATACTTTTTGAGTTATAAGGCTTGAAAGTTACTGTAACGCTGGCATTAACATTAGCTAAGGTATGCAGCGGACGGTTAAAACTTCTTAAAAGTTGTTCTGGATCTTGGTCTGAATAATATTTATCAATGGAGGTTGTAACTATTATTTTCATTTTTGCATAAAAAATTCACTTTATATAAAAATTAATTTATATAAAAATTCATTTAACACACACACATAAAAATGAATTTTCATCCAAAATAACATGCAAGAAGCTTTATCCGTCCATTGAACACCTTGGATAATGTTAATGTCAGCGGTACTGTAACTTTTAAACTCATTCTACATTGTACTTTTTGTTTCCTGTTTTTTGTTGTTTGCCTTTTGTCCTCTTGGTCAAAAAGACAAGAGACAAACAGAGACAAACATAGAATTAGCCTTGAGCTTTATAACTCGAAAAGTGTTAAATGAAAAAATTTATTATAGAGAGTTGGAAAGCTCTTGAGGTAATTTATACAATACAAATAATGAAAAATAAGATGTTTCATTTAAGAAATTAAAAGTAATCTTTATATAATATTCGTACAATTATTAAAGGTCAAATTAGTGGCACTGTCTTATGTCCTCCTTGAAGCTGTACTACTTTATCTGATAAATAAACTAGTACCATAAAGCACATTTACATAATTTATTTGAGATTGATAATATTAATTCGAAAACTATTCAAAGTAAAAATGATAAAATAAAAAACTAATAAACTATTGTTTTTTTGCATTACAAAACAGATAAATATTAGGTGCTAAACTTAGTTTTCGCAGTTCACATTTAGATGATACTTCTTAATAACAAACAAGTTTTGACATTTCGACAACCAAATCATTTTGCCTTTATTCTTGTGACAACTGTTATACATAGAACATCTATAACTTGACTATATCATTTTAATTGGAAGAAAAAAATTATACCTAGAGCTTCTGAAATTTCCGTAAGTTCTATACACCATCTTTAAGTTATTTTATTCTTTTCTAATATTTATCAATTTAAAGTTGTAACGTTACCGTTGAATCATGATGCGGATATTATTTTAAAAGATGATTTTCTTTCACTAACGACTTGACTATAAACATGACTATTAGACGGATTTCCATATATTTAATGTTTAATGTTATTTCAAAATTTATATATGACTGAAGAGTACTTCTGTATGAGTCGAAACGTTTCGTAATTGATTAATCATATTATTTAATAAAGATTGTACATCTTATTTTGTGCTTGTTTATAATACCGACTTCACAATATCATATTTTTGTTGTTTTTAGATGATACTAGTTGTAGATGTAATTTTACATCTGAAACTGGCTGCAATTTAGAGATTAGACAATTGTCAACAAAATTTTGTGCGAAAAGATTCATTTAAGCGAACAGTGCTATTTTTTTTATTAAAAGAATTTGAAATGTAATTAATTGTTTTTTCGACATTTATTGCTTCATTATTTTGATTTGAAAAAAACTGCAAGCTGCTGCTCATAAATTGCTTGTCGAAGCATATGCTCCATCGGAAAGGACATGACAAGAATGGTTTCAGCGATTTAAAAGTGATGATTATGATGTGAATGATAAACAATGCTCAGGTCAACCGAAAAAGAGAGAAAGTCAATGTTCTAAGAGAGAACATTGACTTATTGACTTTATATTTTATAATTATTGTTTTAAATTGTTATATTTATATTAATGTTTTTTGTATATATTATTGAGACTGAAGAAGACTACAGTAAGAGTCGAAACGTTTTGCTTTAAATTTAAAATTGTGAAATAATAAATTGTGATTATAATAAAGTTTGTCAACTGTTTTACATCGTTTGCTTGTTTATAATACCGAAATTCAATATCTTAATTTGTCGTTTTTAAAACATAACAAGCGTTATCTTAGTACTTATATTTTCAACCGAAAAAGTTTGAAAATGTCACGAATTGCAAACATTATTGGACGAAAACTCAGCTCAAACGCTCCAACAATTGTCTGCAGCATTAAACGTTACTCCGATGGCTTTCCAGACGTCTACATGCAACGGGAAAGATTCAAAAGGAAGAAAAATGGGTACCACACAACTTAACCGAAAATGCCATTGCAAATCGCTTAAACATCTCTATTTCTCTGCTCTCCAGATAGAAAAAACAGTTTTCTGTGATCGCGCGGCTACAAAAAGTGAATATATTTTGACAATCCCAGACGCAAAATGTCATTGGTGAATCCCAGTCAACCATCAACATCTACACGAAAGCGAAATATCCATGGCCACAAAACAATGTTCTGCATTTGATGTGATATGCCAGGCGTCATTTACTAAGAGCTATTCAAACGAAAGTATCACGGGCGATCTATATCAATTACAATTGAACTGTCTGAATAAAGCATTGTTAGAAAAAACGCCAGCAGTAGCCAGCAATCGACGCAAAGTTATGTTTTTGCACGACAGCGCTCGACCACACGTTCATGCAAAAGCCGTCAAGGAAACACTGATGAAGCTTGAGTGGGAAATTCTTCCATACTCAGCGTATTCACCAGACTTAGCTCTTTCAGACTATTACTTGTTTCGATCAATGAAACATGGCTTGGTGAATATACACTTTAGAAATTACGAGGATGTGCGAAAATGAATGGACGAATGGGTTGCTTTAAAGGATCAATCGTTTTATCATCACAGAATCCACTTATTGCCCAAAAGATGGGAAAAATATATAGCTAACGAGAGTAAATACTTTGATTGACGTATTTTTGCTTTTGATATCGAGTGAATTAGTTTTTTTAAGCAAAAAACCGAGAAAACTAAGTTTACTACCTATATGTTTTTAATTCGTGTTTATATTACATGCATTATAGACAGTTTAAATATGTTTATTTTTCTTACATTTGTCAATTTTTATTAAAACATTTGTTATGACAAATTGTATTTCAATGAAAACCATATATTATTCTGTTGCACATTCTTGACACATTCCAGGATGTTTCATTGTTAAATCTGTAAACATAAAATATTGAATGTTGAGTAATTTAAGTACATGGTGAGTTAAGTTGATCACCCAGTGAGAAACGACAATGGAATCGACGTGGATTTGATGATGTCTACATGGTGAGTTAAGTTGATCACCCAGTGAGAAACGACAATGGAATCGACGTGGATTTGATGATATCATCGATTCGGTATCAATTCGATGTCGAGATTCCATTGTCATTTCTCACTGGGCAATAACATTAAATGTCTTATGTTCTGATTATAGGTATATAAGATTTTTTTATCATTTTATATATTTTTTAATGCAGATATTATTATATGCGTAAATATAATTGGTAAATTAATATTTACTAATGTATTCATGCCGGTATTGAGAATATTGGAAGAATGGTTCTCCATTCATCCTTTGTGTAAAATAGAAACTTTTCTTATAATCTTAAATTACTTTATTTTTAATTTACATATTAGTATCTCTTTATCAATTTAATTGTATCAAAAATATAAATAATGTAACTTTGATGATTTAAGCAATAATTATAATAATTGTAATAAATTAATTATAATAAAATCACTTCGTCGACTAGCCAACAGAGGTCTATAGTTACTCATGCCATTTCTCGCAAGTGCTTGATTACATGTGTAATTGTTTATATAGAACTTCTTTCTAACATCTTTCCAGGCGTCTAAGGTAGGCTCCCACTACATTACCTTACTGATGAGTCCAGTAGTGGAAGCCGGGACGAAACGCCAACTCGTGATATTCTTCACAATCTCAGCTTCTCTGAGTTTAAATTATTAATTTATTATTAAATTTTAATATATGTCTTCCAACATATTATTAAGATCTAATAAGATGCTATAGGCATCAAAAAGTGGTTAAATTGATTCTCAATTTAACTAAAGTGATATTACTGCGGTAGTGAATATGTATGCGTCAATGCTGAAAATCCATCAGCGTCGCGGGGGGACTACATACGCAGTATATAAATTTCACACAATATAATAAACATTAACATCTTGTTTTCAAGACTCGATTAGGCTTTACACTTTACACTTTCCTCGATTTTTAAATCATACGAGTCAATTATTATTATCTTTCATTATAATTATAATAATATTATAATAGAGATGAGTTATAATAAAAAAGAAAGGATATCTTTGTCCTGTTGAAAGACATTAAAGCAACCAATTTGACTGCTCTAGTGATAAACCAAAAAATGTCTTTCAAATCATTATAAACAGCTGCTGACTGTTAAAAGAATGCGATTATAAGTTTAATATTAAATTATTTTTTAGAAAGAGATTCAAAAGATTTTGAATAAAATAATTATAGTTATACGCCGCAGTTTCCCATGCATTCTTCGAATAGTGCAGGTTGGTAACTCATTCCAGATTCACGGGTTGGAATTTCACTTTCCTCTTCATTGAATTGTTCATGAGCCTGGACTCCCCATTGAATTGCACGTAACATTGGACTGATATGACCCAGAGGTATTGGAAGAGGTAGTGGGAGAGGTAACTATAACGTTTATCATGCGAATCAAACTTTCAAATATTAAACTCCCGATTTTTCTTCAAAAATATTACGATGTTGGTTTCAGAACACTAAAATATTAAAATTAAACACAGTATATATGCAAACTTTTCATTACAATTTTTTTTACATAAAAGGTTAAAATAAATATATCATCGTTGTATACAAAAAATATTAATTATTAAAACAGAAATAATCCATGAATATAATGATATGCCTGCGACCTGCGTCATAGTTTATTACATTTAGTATAGAATACGATATTATATTTTTTGATGTTACAACATATTCAAATGGCTTAAATCACTTAAATATTGATCTATTTGTCTTTCCTGAAGTCGCATAGAATATTTACTTACTTCTTGATTCGCGATAAGTATCGGCATTGCAGCAACTGTAAGAATTATTAGTACAACATAGAAATATTGATATAGAATCAATTAATTGATGCATAAACAGTTCGCATCACGCATGAAATGTTTGAAATAATTGTCTTACTCAGCAACATGAAAAATAACATTTTGTTAAAATTTGCCTGATCAACGGCAGCCAGTTATCGATGTTATAAGATATTTCGTACGTTATAATCTAACGTGAACAGATGTTCGACGTTATACTGTTTGGCAATATCATGTTGCACTCCTTTTTATAGAATTGTTAATTGGTAGTTATATTCATAAAATGTATAAGCGTATGGTAAACAAAAAAATAGCTCAATATACATGGCAAACTACTTATTACTAATTTTCAAACTTTGTGTGTGTGTGTGTGTGTGTGTAAGTGCGTGGGCGTGTGTGTGTAACAATAGCAGACCTTGAAATGTTGAAAGGAATTTTAATGTACATATATGTATAACACAAACAATATGGAAAAATTTTTTTAATATTTACGCTATGTTAATAATTATGGCTTTTTAAGGGAATCCTAAAGACGATTAGTCATGTTGGAAATAACACTTACACATAGATGGTTACGTGTCACTGACACATCACTACATCAATATCTCACTCACGCATGCTACACATACACATAAATTTTCGTATCGTAAGTACGTTTTAATTAAACATCTAATGCCCATTTCCACCAATGCAGATTAACTTTAATCTCGGTTCAATTTGCTCTTCGTTTTTTTCTAATTCTAAAAATTAAAAAAAGATTAATAGTAATTAAGTTAAACCGAGATTAAACTTAATCTGCATTGGTAGAAACAGGCATAAATCCAATTTTAGGAACCCGACGCTGTTTCTTCATACCAACTACTTGCTTGTGGATTACTATTTTGTAACTACAGATCGTATAGCTTCTATATGAAGTAAACGTTGTCACGATGTGTAACGACGTGACAGCTTTGGAGCGCCATATGAACTAAGAAATGATAAAGTGGAACTCAATTTCGAAATTTTTTGTCGTTTTCAGCATAGATTCAACCTCAGCTCATAGGCAGGTATTAATACGTAGATATACTTTAATTCTTGGAAAGTATTTTCGAATTTGTGAATGATAAAAAAAAGTATTTATAAAATTATATGGTTTAGTCGATAATCCAGACAACTTTAGGATCCTTTTAAGGTGATGCTGGATCCGCCAATATTATCGATATAACAAATTTTTAATTACAATTAAAGTATTACATATATCAAAAAATATTTACGTATTATACATTAAGTAAAACGTTACGTACATTTCTTATTTTGTTATATTTCATATATCGCTTGAGTATGAGGTTTTGTACACTCTAATCGTATTTCTCCTGCCATTTGTCTTGTAAGCTTCAAAATCATAATTTGAAGGTCTCATAATACTCTTGTAAATTAATCAAATATAGGAAAGTATTTTTCGTTTGAATATATGCTTGCATTCGTTTTTATACAGGGTGTCTCACAACTACCGCATTTTTTCTTAAAGGACGTATTTTGAGATTATTTTATGACATCTTAATACAAAAACGTTGGGGCTATAATAGGTCTAAAAATAATCGCAATTTCACTAATCACTGAGCTGACATTTACCCGCTCAGGCACGACGATATGACAAATGGTGATATACCATGACGGCTCAGTTAACATGCAATATTTTTCAGAAAGTTGTTTAAAAAATATCTGTATATTTTTAATTTTTCAGTGTATATATATATATATATATATACACGTTTGTATAATTTATATGCATAATATTAATATCGGAATAGATATATCCTGAAATATCAATCAATTCAACAGCAAGATATTACGGTATGTACATTTGTCAAGATAAATTCGTAATTATGTTCATTTGTCTCGTAAACATTTTTGTCATATCGTCATGCCTGAGTGCGCGAAATATCAGCTCCTTGATTAGTGAAATTTAATTGCGATTAATTTAAGAATTATTATAGCCTCGATATTTTTATTTTAAAATTCTCATCATAAAATTATCTCAAAAATACGTCTTTTAAAAAATGCGGTAGTTGTGAGACACCTTGTATATGTAAAGAAAGAAAACTTACATTGTAACAAAAGACTGTAATTTACAATTTTTTGAGGATTCTCATACCGGTTTGATACTTTTCCGCATTTATTTGTGATTTTCTTTTTATTCTGGAGAAAAGGAATTTTTATTCTGTATAAGAAAAACGAAATGGCATGAGAAATACGAAATGAATCGATAACTCTAGCATCCCTTAAGGAGAGGACTCGAGGCCGGTTTTCAAAAAAGGGTGCCAAAGAGCACCAACATACAATATAATGTCAATACAATGACTAGATAGTGGAATTAATAAATACCCCACACAAGAAACTACAGATTTTTCCCGTCGGCTGAAGGTTGGTCTCAAAAACTGAAAGCTCAGTCAAATTCTTGAGACTTGACTTGAATCTCGATAAGGGAAGAAGACTAAAAATTTACAGAACTCACACACATCGACATATCGGGATGAGTTTTACAACATAAGTATAACACCTAGACAGCACAAAACATCCATTGGACATTTAAAAAATGATCATGTCATGCAAAAATGTTCTAAGTCTGTTCGCAACGTGATGCTTTTGCTGACTTGACAAAGTAAAAATTTTTTTAAGATCGCACGAGGAATTTTACATTTATTACCTCCGGTAACAAAAATTTACTTTTAGATTTACTTCGTATGCAAAATATTAGGTTTAGACAATATATACTCTCTGTGTGATAAATTTAAACTTCTTTGTAAGTCACAAATTAGATGAGATATGATTCTTATTGATTTTTTATCATTAAAAACGAATACGAAAATAAAATTGCTACATAACATGTCAGATATTTGAGAAAATTGAACTTAAAGTTACTAAAAATGAAACTTTTGAATACTTTTGAGCTAAAATATTTAAAAAATGTGACATATTAGAGTAATTTCATTCATGGAATTGTTTTCAATCTGCATGTTTTTAATATGTCCAAAACGTCAAACATGTACATTTTAAATACAGTTTTAAAACATTAGTATGCTGTCTGAGAATAACTAACAATAAATAAATTAATTCATCTGTCTTTCTACAAATTGTAAGATTTAGCTGCATTTGAATTTAACTTGTACGTGCTATAATAAACGATTACGCCGAATTTTGAAACGTATTATTGCCAATACTTGGGTGTGCAGTAACAGGGCTTGCAGGTCAATTATTTAACTTGTAACGCAAGTTTTCTTATCATTATGACGTCGTTGTGCAACTTTCTTTTAGTAAAAAATAAAAAAATTGCGCAACGATTTTAGAATAGTAACGAAACTCATGTTAACTGTTACAGAATAGTTTTATTCGATGTATAGAAAATAAGTATTCTTTGTCTTTCCGGCTTCGACCGTTTCTGTAAGAAATTCGATTCACTCAATCATTGTGTTTTTTTTAGAAGAAATGTGCCAGCAACAACGATGGTGTTTCGTATGCCGAGCGTTTGCGTATATTGTCAGTTATTTAAAGAAATTGCTCTGCCTACTGCATTTTGACAGCACAATTAGTCTTAAAATAGTTGGAATACTTCGCTGTAGTTACCAGGCCTATGATCTATGGTACATATATAAGGAGCAAAGCCTTGTTTAAACGGTATATATGTTTATAGTGCGGATAGTTTTAAACACTTTATATGAGATGTACAATTAGATACATATATCTACATTAACAATTTAAATACCATAAAAGCACATTTACATAATTTATTTAAGATTGATAATATTAATTCTAAAACCATTTTTAAGTAAGAAGATTAAAATAAAAACTAATAAACTATTGTTTTCTATTACAAAGTAGATAAATATATTTAATACGTATATCGTACATACATAAATTACAGATTGTTTAAATACCCGAGTAAAAATTTTATATATGATTATATGTATATGAATTGTTATGTATAATCATATATGATATTTGTCTCTATATGACTATACATGAGCATACATGACTACATATGCCGCTATATATGATTGTATATGACTATATATGGCCATATATCTTAGTATATAACCACACATACACTATGCGGCTGTATATGATTGTTCGTTTAAGAACGCTCGCAGTAAATTTGGGTGGCGGGAACACGCTCCGAAGGCAGAAGACATCATATATTTATAACGAAATTTATTGTAATTAACATTGAATACAGGAAATAATGGCCAGCGGTCTGCTTTGCGTAATTAACATTTGTAAATTGTACATTGAAATTAGCTCGCACTTATTGCTCGCACTTGTCAAGAACGCTACGTATAGTGATAATCATGAAGAGAGGCATCGCTCCAACAGTAATTCAAATTCCGTAAACTAGAGTGTGAAAGAAAATTAGATAGCGAGTCACACTCGAACCGTATATCGAGCCCCGTGAGTTAGAGTGAGACAGCGGGCCACGCTCGAACCGTGTAGTCCGTGTATCGAGCTCCGTAGGCATCGGTGTTGGCCGGATACCGCCTGAGACTGTCGTCAGGTGCCTTTATGCGACACGTTATGTGAACGCGAGATGAGGCGTCATGACGCGAGCCCGCGACCGTCATCGGACTCATCAAAATTGTGATTTCTCATCGCTCGAGCCGTCTTCGAGCATCTTAGAGAGATCGAGAGAGAAAGAGAGAGAGAGAGAGAGAAAAGGGAACAAGTAGCCGCGTATGGCGAAATGGCGAACGAATAATCTCGTTGCATAATAATTAATTAGAGGCTCATTTCCTCTCTTACTTTCAAATCTGAGATCTCTCGTGAGCTATCTACTTAAAACTGGTGGATAGATGTATTTGTGATGGCTCTTTCGTCTTTACCAAATAGATTTTTCACCAAGGAGAAATAGACCTTTTTAATCAAGGATCTCAGGCCACCGTCGTTGCTAACAGATTTGTTATAAACAAAAGCACGTTCAAAAGACGATGCGCCCGTCGCTATGCGCGGTGAGCGTAGCCACCCACGCAACGTGCTCCAGACAGACCCCGGCCACTCCGCAGATAATAGCCTTCGCCCGAACAATGATTGTATATGACTATATATGGCCATATATGAAAAAAAATTTTCCTCTAAATTCGAGAATTAATTTTTTTTCATGATGCTTCCCAAACTGTCACCCATTCGAAGACATACCACGACCTCGCATGCTTAACCTTAACAATCGTACGGGAACT